ATCCCAGTAGCATTACAGACGCCGCTGGCTCAAGTGACGGCTGCCACCAACCCGAGCCGACGCATCTTGTGGTGGAACTGTTCCTTGGACGTTCAACAGCCAAGACGGCTGGGGGCGCACGCAAGTTACGAAGGGCAGGCTTTTTGGGGACGCTGACTACGTAGCATGTTGATGAGGAAAATCAGATGATAAACAACGGGATTGCGGGGTTGCTGCACTTTTTCACCTTTGTAAATGATGACAGAATTAGATAGAATTTGATCACGTGATGGAGTGGCAACTAGGGAAGACACTAATTGACAACAGCATCACGGGAATATCGGGCCTCTGTTCTCAGGCTCAGCAGTACCATTTTAGGCATCAAAAAACCTGGCTGAAGCAGTGATCCCAGATCTAGGCTATCGCCTTTCGCCTGGCTACATACATGTTCTGGTTGGTGGTTTCAAACATTTTTTATTTTTCCATATATTGGGAACAATCGTCCCAACTGACTAATATTTTTCAGAGGGATTGAAATCACAAACAAGTGTTTGTACATCCTCATATTTGATGGTTCGAGGCAATGTTCACTCCTTCGATCCCCGAAGATTCAGGAGCTTTGCAGCATGTTGCAGCCATTTTTGACATTTTTGAGCCCTGCTTCTGCAAGGTGACTGAGGTTCAAAATTGGACTCACATTACCACCCCTCATTACAACTGTCCCCGATACTTCACAACTGTCAAGGCTGGTCTTGGAATTTGGATCCACGTTTTATCATGTGTCCTTAAAATATGTCTAATTGTTGTTTCCATATATATATATACATGTTTCCATTCATTTTCCCTCACTTTACAAATTTGCAGTGCCCCACTGCGACTGCTTCCTATGACGAAGTCCCATTCTCCATCATTCTCCTGCGCCTCGGCGCGAACAAGGCCAAGTCATGAGCTCGGAACCTCGACGTAATCGAAAGCCGGCTCAAGTCGAGGCAGCGGTTTTGACGCCCGTTTTTTGGGCGGGCGCCGGGCGCCTGGGTGCAAAGATTTGAATTTAACGATGATTTAACGAACAAGAATGGTAATCTGAGATGGATATAATATGAACTGAATTAATGGGATGTGAATGATATTAGAGGGATTTATTCCATAAACCTGGTTGTTCGTGCCCAAAAGGGTAATTCAACCGTGAAAGCGGGAAGATTTCAATTTGTGCGGTAAATCATTGGTTCATCCACCGGAAAGGGGCAGTATCCTGGACGAACAAAAATTCTTTTTTGGTAGTACCCTGAAGCAAATCCAAGGGCCAGGCGGTTGATTAGAGGGGTGACCACCAGGTTTCACAACCAATTATACATGATATATATATATATGTATATATATATGTATATATTATGTACAGGATATATATATATATATACATACACACCTATTCATATATATATATATATTTATCATGGAAGAATTGGTATCCCAGACACGCTCAGCTTCTCGGAGATTTGCCGATCAGATTTTTTTTCGCTATGGAAGCCACGGCCCATCTGATGACTTACCTCTTTAAGATTTGTGATCTTCCATAGTTATGTGAAATGACCGGTACCAATGTACCAACAACATGATGTTTTGGTCAAAAAAACGTCTCTACTTAAAAAGATAGCCAGAAGTTGGGGAGTACCCTGGTCTTTACTTTGTTCGCATCCAAAATATCCTTCTTCTTGCTGAATGACCGGGAACATCCAATGGAACTTGCCAAACATCCCTATGTTTGCTGACTTGTAATACACTAGATTTGTTGCTTAAATCCCCAAAAATACTTTGATTGCCAGCAAAAGCAGTACTCCAACAATTTCTGCTAGATCAACCTTTGCTGGGCACATCCATTCCCAGTTTTTAGGTAGTAAGCACCTCATTGATTTCAGTACCTGAATTATTTTGCGGGAGAGTCGTCATTTTCAAGGTACCCAACGATGTCATTATCACTGGGCAGTGTGAGTAGAGATGGGCAGGAAATAGCTCAATGTTCAATGGTACATCACTGGCACAATTCACAAACACAGTCTCATTTTTGTTTGAATGAAAGTGAAAAGTGCCAAGTGCCCCAAAGAGTGTTATTAAATAAATAAATGATTTTCTTCCAACAAAATGACTCCAGCATTGGCGTAAAATTACACAAACCCCCGTAGATTTGGCGGCAGTATGTTTGGTTTCCCCATGACAATCCCACTACAATCCGATTTTAATCTGATAATTGCTCATTAAATCCCCATAAAAAGGGAGCGGTTTCCATATGATGTTTCCATTGTTATGGCCGTTTTACATCCCTTGCTTGATCCCATCATTCCTGGCATTTTGTAGGATTTCCATGGTCTTTTCCCCCCAAAGTCTTTAAAGATGGCATCAACCAACCATTTCTGGATGAATTGTGAGGACCTCGCTGCGTGAGGGGGCGACTATACCCTGTTTGATTTCAGGTGAATTATAACATCAGAAATACAGGAGGCCCCCAAGATAGCTAAGTTGCCTTATAAGTGGTTTAACTATGGTTTATGGTAGATATAACTATACGTAGTTCATAGGGTTTTTTAAAATAGCTGATAACTGGGGGGCACTGTCCTGTATAGAAATCAAAACTATACCTGAAATCAGGTATTTCACTATGCACCCAGTTTCTTTTTGTGATTTCAGTAAAATCAGATATAAAGGCCCCCCCAAAAAGATAGAACATACCTTGGAAAGCTGGAAATGATAGGGAGCTCATCCTCTCCATGGAAGTGACATGATCTTTGCATCTTTGCATCCATGGGGTACGACATGTTACGACATTTAAGGTGGATTTCCAAAGATGGCAATTGAACATCCTTCCATAAAGCAGGGGTTGAATGGGAACATCATCGAAGTTTCCATGGGTGATATTCCATAGATTCCTTTGCCACGTCTGATTACTGGTGATAATATGTGATAATCAATAATCATCAATAGTTTTATTGGTGTTCAAGGGTGAAAACATGATGATCACCCTCCAGTGATGAATTATGATGAATTATGATGAATTATGACAATGATGAGTTCTGATGAATTATGATGAATTTTGATGAACCCATGAATTATGATTATCAGATATTATCAGCCTCCAGCTGGTGAGTCTCTGGCAGCTTCACCGAAAAACTCGCGGCGGCGTCGCGAGGAGATGTTGAAACGAGCCGCGGCGGCGAGCTGCGAAGCGCCCAACCGGGCCATGAAGAGGTGGGAGGCTACTCCCAGTTCTCATCCATTTATTAATGGTATTTTCCATGAAATAAACCATCCATTGGTACCACCATGACTATGGAAACTATCATTTAATTACTGATTACTAATCCATGCTGGTTGGTGGTGACTGGAACCATGGAATTTTGAATGACTTTCCATATATTGGGAATTTCATAACCCCAACTGACGAACTCATATTTTTCAGAGGGATTGAAACCACCAACCAGTAATGGTATTTTCCATGAAATAAACCATCCATTTGGGGGTACCACCATGACTATGGGAGCTATCACTAATCACAAAAAAAGTAAGGCTTATTAACCACATGATTAACAATTACAAACCAATCTTACTCCCATATAGAATGTATTACCCTCCAGTAAATTAACATAGACCCTGGCAGATAGGGGTTGGAAGATTAGTTTTCACAAACAAAATGTTATTTTCAGGGTCTATGTTAATTTATCAGAGGGTAACCATTATTAACCATTATTAATCCCTGGTTGGTGGTTTGGAACATGAATTTTATGACTTTCCATATATTGGGAATTTCATAACCCCAACTGACGAACCAGTGATGAAATGATGCTACCCTAATAATTGGTAATACCCTCTGGTAAACGTTTACATAGCTATGGAAAATCACGATGTTTAATGGGTAAATCAACAAAATTTCTATGGCAATTTTCAATAGCTATGTAACAAATTACCAGAGGGTAAACCAGCCACAAGAAATTTTGGTACTTTGTGGTGAATAGCTGGTACCCATTAAATTGGCCTTTCCAATTGGGGCTACCCCAAAAACGCTGGCTGGTTTATATATATATATATATATTTTTTTTTTTTTAATGGAAAAAGCATCTATAAAATGGATGAGACACGTGGGGTACCGATGATAATTTGTTACGGCCAGCTACTGGAGATGGCCATAGAAATACTATGACATAGTTTATTATAGCATGATTCTGGTGATTAAATGATTGAAATACTATGTTTCATAGTGATCAAACGATGATTTCTGGGCAAATTATAGTGACCTCACTGTTCTCCCTCACCCTGGAATCATGGGAATTGGATTCGGGACATCATCCCCAGCCATGGCCTCCTGGGATTTTTCATGGTGATTGTGGAGTGTTTATGGCTGGTGATGGCTGGTGAGGAAAGATGGGAGTGAATCTCGTTTAGTATATTTAGTTGGGATTCCATGGGAGTTCATGGTGCAATAAAAATTTGGGATTCCGTGGGAAATTCTGGAGGATATCATTTTTTTAAATCCCAAACGATAGCTACCCTCTGTCAATTTAACATAGCTATTGAAAATGGTGATTTATAGTTAATTTACCCATTAAAAATTGTGATTTTCCATAGCTATGTTAGTTTACCAGAGGGTAAGTTATGCCAAGTTGTTTTTTTTTTGCCTAGGTGAATTCGATGGTTTTTGGTGTGAGTGATATTGAGCTAGTTAAAGGGAAATACATCACTCGGGGGTCCACCCTGTAATACATCAACATGCTGGAATCTAAGATAATCTAAGATAACCTAAGGGCTTTGGAAGATGAAGATGTTGATTTGGCAGAGTTTTCGATTGCCTCAAACCCCTATTCTTCTTGCAAAATGGTGATGTAAGCCATAATCACAGGGATTTGCAGCCATAAAATAACTTGGTTGATGGATACTGGACTGGACATTCAACCCGCAAATGGAGGGACCAAAAAACTACAAGAACCGAGAGTTCATCAACAGAAGGGGGGTGAACCGGTGATTTCATCCAACAACCAAGCACCGAATTGGAGATTTTTTTCATTCGCTGCATGGCCATCCAGCATCCCTAGGAGAATCCGACAGAGGCTTCACAAAAAGCTGGGCCTCATGGTGTCAGGCCGCCGCCAAAAAGCCCCTTTGGGGGTTCGTAAAATTTTTTTGGGGGTACCAAATCATCCAAAATTGGAGCATTTTAGGATTGAAACCACAGATTCGGATTGCTTTTGGGGACGGGATGCCCCATTTTAGGAACCCCCCACTTAACAATACAACTTAGCTATGTAAATATATGGATGGGTTTGAAAATGGGGTATACGGTGTACCTTCTAACTATCCGTTTAAGAGGGACAATTATGACCAAGCATCAAAATTTGGGCTACCCTACTTTCAGACATATATATATATATTGTATGTATATTATGTGCATACATAGCTATTTGATGTTATTTGGATAGTTGGCCCCAGTTGATGGCTTACTGGTTGTCTGATCTGCAAGGCCTCATTGTTCACAACTCATGGGTGAAGCATTCTTGCCATTTGGATGGAAGAATGAGGAACAGATAATGTGGGTAAAACAATAATCAACAATCCCCTATCCCCCAAATCAGCATAAATAGGTGGTATGAACCATTCCCAAATGGGTAGTTTATGACATTGCTTTAGCCAAGTTACTCCCCATTTCAACACTTCTCACTCTGAGCTGATCTAATTCTCGACAACCACCACGGGACTCCGAAGCTGATTTGTTCCAAGGGCCCTAAGTCTGTAGTGTCCTTTTAGTACCCGGTGGATGGTGGGTGAAATCCACGCAAACGTTTGGGGGTTTTGGGCGAAGCAACGACACTTTCTTAGGAGTTTGCTATTTCTGTTTTTTTTTTCAACCCAAAGATTCACCAAACTCAGAGGATGTAAAGAAACAACAAGCAACTTACCAAGCCCTGCTTGGAGCCTGCCCTGCCCGTGGCTGGACTTTCCGCCATCCAGGGAACGATTTTGACAAGGCCATTGAGCGCTTTCATCTCTTGGAGGCCTCCAAAGAAGGCGCGGCAAGGCTTCCATTTGTGGCTTCAGGATGAAGCCCAAGCATCTAAAAATTATGATGATCTAAGATGGGGATTTTTGTCATACAATGTGAGGCCCCCCCAGTGATGTTTGTTGGTTAACAAAAGCCCCAGTAACTATAGTTATTTGCGTACCATAAACCATAGCGACATTGGAGTTATGTTCACCAACTGAACGCTATCGAACGGGGGGCCTCACATTGTATGAAATTCACATGATAAAAAAAATGGGGAATTAGGAGCAGGTATTATGATCTGCTTCGTGATTAGCCCAAAAAAACTGAGTATCCCATGGTATCCCTGTGATTCTTTGTGCTATTTATATATCCCCACAGGGATACCATGGGGTATCCCAGAAATCACAGAAATCACAGGGATCGATATCCCATGGTATCACTATGTAGCACTGTTTCTGTTAAATATGAAAGAATCCCCTTGGCCAGAAACAGTGACTTCAATCCCCGTGATTTTTAGTTTCTTCCAGTCGACTTGACTGCATGGCACGGAAGGAAAAGGTCGTGACAGAAAACCAGAGAACAAAGAAAACAGGAAATCACCATCGAAAAAGTGTCAAATTTGTTTTCTTCACATTGTTTGACCTGTATCTTGATCCATAATTGGGAGATATTGGGAGTATCTAAAAAACAGAATGTAGCAAATATCTGAATTATTCTGAATTGTTCTTCTGGAAGCTCAAGATTTAAATCAAAGATTTTGAACATTTTGGATACTTCACATGGACAAAGTTATGCAGCTCGGGACTGCCTCTCTTGTGCCAGGTCAAGTGTGTCAAGTGCAGGCCGGGTGGTCACCGGTTTAGGGTGATTTATCATTATCCATGGAACATGGGGATGTCATGACTATAATGGTGATTTAGTTGTACAACAGCTAAGAATGATGATAAACAAATCATGAGTTGATGGTGATTTAGATGGTGATTTAGCCATTTTTTGAAGAGATTTCCTCAGGGGAAATGAGACCTGAATCATGGGTTACGCCATGTCGAGATTACCCTTTGGTGTCATGCATTTCACATGGCGAGCTGCTGGGAAGCCGGCCCGAACGAGATCCATGGTTTCGGTGTCGGAACTCGCTGGCGAGTTTTAATCCATGTTATCCATTTTCAGGCTGGATTTCCAGCAAATCATTTTTGATACCCGGAGGCTAGCTGTCTTATTTTCCGGCGGGTAGCTACATAACTTCTTAAGAATGAAGGTGAACTAGAGCGCAAGCCTTCCATTTACGCGGAGATTTCCTGCATGTTGCTGATTTGGCCTTGATGTTGGTTGAAAAAACCCGAAAAGACCTGCTTCACGGGGAAAAGGCATGAGATTTTTTTCAGCTCGGCATTTACATCAAGATTATCAAGGTGAACATCCATGGATTGACCCAAGGATATTCGTTGAAGGACACCGCAGACCCATAGGAGACTCATGCCATGCTAGCCGCAAAGGACTTTGAAGGGAACATTTGCGGGGTAGACCACCCAAAATTGACGGAAAAAAAAATGCTAAAAAATATGAACTGTATACGGTCTACTGTACAACGATTTACCCCAAATATGTACATTGAAACATACTACACGGAGTAAACATCAGCAACTTTTTTCTTGTGTGTCCGTAGACATGTGTATCTAATACATATACAATAAGACCCCAATCAATATCCCAGCAATGGATTGCATTTCCTGCAATTCTATAGAATTACTGCAAATAAAATGAATCGATACATGACCATGTATGGATGTGAATATATATATATATAATGTATGATATATGACTGTAACAGATTCATAGCCTAACGAATTCACATCTTTACACATGTTAACTGTTAATTACTTGGAAATCTTTGCCATTACTATACCTCAGCTTTACACACTGCCTTTAGAAAGAGAAAACCCATACGCTAAAAATATACGGTATATATATATTTACATTACATTTCATGATTTCTTTTCGGGAAAAGGTGGGCACGCATTTTTCAAAACAGAAATTTGTGATTCCAATCCGAAAAAAAGATCCAGCAACGAAAAGTGGGCCATGGAACTCCCCAACATTCCCCATAAAAACCTGCACTAGTTGGGACTGGGAGTTCTGGTCGTGATTGCTACGTGGCAGGACGATGGGGACGATGGGCGCTTCGCTTGGGAGGGTGCCTGGCCTCTGTGTGCCGTCCAGGCTGGAGATTCAACAGCGCACATGGACATGGTGGTCATATTTTGTAGATCTGTAATGCAATATCTGTAATTCAGTTATTACATGATATATATATGCTTATATATGTGTACACATATTTTTATATGACGAAATAGAATGAATCGTAATAATATATATATATAATTATATATACATATGTTGATACAACAGAATATATATACACCAGAAAGATCCAATAGACCTAGCCCTGCCTCTTGAAGAGGGTTTCAAAAAATCCTTTCGTTTGGGGTGTTGGAGACACTTGGGATATGCTCCGAAGGAACATCTTAGAAATCAGACATGGTGGCGCGGCATTTCAGACGATGATGAGCTTTGCGGACGAAGCAGGGCCAAATTTTCGAGCAGAGCATTGACGGCAGCACCTTGCGCAGATCACTGATTGAAGATGTTGTGGGAACGAACTCTATGATGTCGCGGTTCCAAAGGGCGGTAGTGGTTGTGGTAGTGGTAGAGTGCGATGCTTCAGATTGGTGAACTGAGTTGTTTGTTCCACTTGGTTTGAGTCCCAACCGGCAAAATCTGGGGGATTTGGGACCATAGCGCCGGAGATGCGAAACCTGCAGAACAAGATTCAACCCTACCTGTGATAACCCCAATTGACAAATGTCTTCAAATTAGCTTCAAACCAAACACCACTAATTAGTACAGTTGGATGGGTTTGAAATGGTTTGAAGAAGAAGCAACAAACCAACTACCACCTGTAAATCCAGTGGTTCATAGCCACCGATGGTTTCCCCAGATTCCGTAGTCTCGGTAGTTTGTTCATGTTCGTTCCACCAAATCATCTTCCAAAATGATGGGGGGCATATGTGTATCATACATATCTCTGCATATATATATGTATGTATATGGATGGTCACCCCACCAGGGCCTACCTTGAGCATTTTTCGGTGGTATTTGCAGTAAACAAGCCTCTTGTTTTGTTGTTCATCTTTTCGTTTTATTTATACACAGCCAGTCAAGTACAGTACCTCTTGGCTCTTGCTCCATTTCTTTTGCAATTCCTAAATAACAAATGCACAGACTGCACTTTTAAGCACATATTTTCCACCCAAAAATTACGTACTAAACATTACCATAAACCCATAAGGTCATGTTTTTATTCAGAAGTTCTTGGATATAATCTAGTTCCATGCAATTCCCATGCAATTCCCATGCAGGATCATAGTTACTGTGTAAGAGTCACCTTGTGAATGATATCTGTTATCTGCTGGAGACATTGAAGGCAATTAAGGAAATGCATCAGAGTCATAAGGCAAAGGATCACAATTCAGGAATAAACATTTTGATATATATATTTGCACCCTAGTAGCATTGAAATAGTTGCATAAACCTGTCCACCAAACCTTGCAAAATACAACATGGTTTGTTCTAAAAGATGCAGGGTATCTATAAAAGAAGTACAGTCTTCCTTTGAAGGGTAAATATGTTTGTAAAATGTGTAGCATGAGTTTAAAGTAATCATTCCTGCTCTAAAATTTAATCTTTAATATAACAATGAACGGTCCCCTGCTTGCAAAAAAGCATTGTTCATTCATTGGCGGTTTTCCTTTGAGATAATTCAGTGCAATGGTTTTTCAACAATCAATACCCCTACAAACTATGGAGGAATCCTCTAAAGGACCTTTTTAAAAAGTATAATCTTCTTTCACACGGTACAGTATCCCTTTAAACAAGCAATATTTCTGTACCATATGTTTCGTGTTTTCAAATTTGCAGCCACCTTTTTTGAGATGCAATATCCAATGCACCAACGCACTATACCTTGAACTGGTCCTGTAAAGATGACTATTGAAAACAAACGGCAAGTATCCTACAAGACAGAATAATATTCTCTTCAAGAAGCCATGTTCCTGCAACAATATAAGATATTTTTCTTGACACATGTAATATTCCTGTTCAAAAGTTTCAGTCTTCCTTCTTTAATGTTGTTTTGAAGCACCAGCTCTTTCTCTAAAGGATCTATTTCATTTATTTTTATAATATTAAAGAACTGTGCGCTCTTCCTAATAAGTTGGTTGAACGTGTTTGAACCATTTTGCAGAGGGTATTTCCCAAAATCATGACCACTTGTTCGCAATAGTAGTTCCGAGTGTCAGAAGTATAGCCATACACATAATATATTCAAATTCTTGGCTCACCACATCCCCACACCAGAAGGAACAAGACTATCAATATTAACAGGGTGACCTGTTTTGGGTTGGGGGGGAAGAACCACCCAAGAAAAAACTAGGAGACCTACTTTCAAAAAAACAACAAATACTAAGTTTTAGGAGACTTGCTTTGAGGGTAGTACTGTAGGTGTTTTAGGAGACCTACTTTGGGGTTGGGGGATAGTGGGTAGGTCCTCAAATTCATGTGTTTCTTTTGGTTTTTGACGTTCCCAACAATTCCTAAATAGGCTTACTTTTTAAAAAAGTGTTCTTTTGTGTGTAGCAAATAGCAGATGGTTGCTATCTGCCAAACAAAAACAATGCATTGGAGAGCCTTCTCCCCTTCCCCCATCCCAAAGTAGGTCTCCCAAAATTTTGTTTTGTTTTTTTACTATTATGTTTTGTTTTTTGTTTTTGTTCAAGGATTTGATCCCTGGAATTAATCCAGATTAATCCAGATTAACCCAAGCCAAATCTGATTCACCTGGCCTCTAAGGCATCATATGTCTATCAAATGCATCATCCTTCACACACCATAATCAAAAAAGTATTGTATGCTAAACATGCGCAGGTATTCCTTGGGGGTGTGCAATTTTCCTTTTAGGTGTGTGGCCTTTGGGAATGTACAATTCTCCTTGTGGTGAGTGAAGCCTTCCCTTCAAATAAATGGTGTTACCTTCGAACGTAAAGGACAGCTGAGCTTCTTTGAGAGGAGTACTACATCTTTAAAGGATACACTGCATATTCTGAAACAATATTGTTTCTGTTGCTTAACAAGGTTGCAGCTTTAGGTTAATTAAGTATTCAATCTTTGAAGAATACAGCATCTGTTGGAGGGAATGTTACCATGATAAAGAAAGAACACATGAATGCGGAACATTAAAACACAGTACACTTTGTAGAGGGCTGTTTTATTTTTTAAAAGGATTCCAACCTTCATAAGGATATTTCTTCTTGGAAAAACACTGCGCATTTTTGAGAATTTCTGAGTTTTCTTCCTGTATCCTTTGGAAATTTAACCGTGCTATTTGATCATATTGTGATGTGATGTTCATAAAGAGGAAACCTGATCCAGAGAAAAACAAAAAAAACTTTCATGTGCAAAATGGATTACTTCATGACAATGGTCGATATAGGTTTCAAAATGTAGCCAAATCCAAGAAGAAAACACACCTTGGAAAGCAAAATACATCCAGTAGAATGCTTTGACAGACAATGCAAGATTGCAGTGGAGAAGTTCAAGTCATGTAGTTCCCAGGCAGAATATTTATCATTTCTTTTGTGTGGCGAAATTAATTTACAACTAGAAATATATTGTTTTGAAGTCGGGGAAGACACTATTCTAGTGTTTCCATGTGATTGTGTTGCAGTACTACATCCCAATGAAAAAAGTGAAGCATTTTTTGAACAACATACCCCTAATTCACCCTCGGAGTCTACATACGTATGTATAATATATATATATTTACAGTATATGTATATATATATTAAATGCATTATACATGTACATATACATCCCGCCGGAAGCGTTACCGGCGCGAGAAAATGATCAAAATTACGACGCCCTCACAGCGAGAAGCCAGATTTGAGCATTCGAAACCTATCAAAAAAAAAGCTCCGTCTACTTTTGGAATGACAACCCTTCCATCACTTCAGCCTCATAAAGGGCAACCGCAACTTTTTCTCACATTTTCTTCAACGCGTCAGCGGTGGCTTCCATCAGGTTTTCCCTGTGCACTCCCACCGCCACTGGAAAGAGCGCATGCATTTCCATATTTGAGGATTGCGCGCCTGGCCCTTTTTCGATGGCAAACTTCCAGGGATGGTTTGCTTGAGGACCTTCCAGAAGCCATCTACGTGACCCGTGTGGATCTTGACTTTCCCCTGTTCTTCAGATTTTTTCTTACAATGTACACATCTACTGCTATTGACATAAGTTCATGTGTGAAACCGCAGTGATACAAGATATAACATTAACAGAAACGTCATGTAGCGTAGCATCTTCATGTTGCGTAGCATCGTCATGCTGCGTAGCATGTTCATGTGGCGTAGCATCTTCATGTCGCGTAGCGCAGCGTACCTTGTCCCCTGCGGTTGCTGCATAGAGATGTGAGTTGTGTAGCATCAACAGAAACGTAGCATCAACATCAAGATCATGAAAATTTTACGTAGAAATTCAAGTAGCGTAGTGTGAAGTGCAAGTGAAGATCATGAAAGTGCAAATGAAGATCATAGAGCGTAGCATCAAGTTCATGTAGAAATGCAAATGACGGTCAGAGAGCATAGCATCGCGTTCATGTGGAAATGCAAATGAAGATCATGGAGCGTAGCGTCCAGTGCATGTGGAAATGCAACTGACGTTATTACCCCACCCCTCCCCACCCCACCCCAGACTACCGGATGTAGATTTGTGAGACGGTAGCGAGTCCGTTAGCATATACATATATATATAGAAAATGCATTATAAATATATATGTACATATGTATATATGTATATATATATATGTATATATATATATACATATGTATATATATATATACATACATATACTTTTATACATATATACACATATATATATATACATGCACATATTATATATATATATTATACACATTATATTATATTACATGTGTTTAATGAGCAAGATATATCTTTGTTTTGAGATCCAACCCCCAAGCGAAAACGATCTGGATCAGGATGTGAAACCATTGGAGGAGAAGGCGATTGTCCGAGTAGAAGGCATGGAGTCCTTCACCCACTGTGATGTGGCCCCTGGACGGCATCGGTAGCCGGTAGCAGTTTCGCTACTAAACTTTACTAAACATGGCTGAGTTCGTTGATTTAGCTATAAAAATGGATAAACATGGTGGATTTGCCATAGTTGAGAGGTTACTCTAGAGGGTAGCCTCTGGTAGACGAAGTGACTTTGCGAAGTGGTGCCCTGAAACCTCGCTGGATTGGTGAATTTGGGACTGATACGAACGTGGGTCAAAGAATGTCATGTTTGCCACCCATGACTGGGAATGGTTTATTTATACCACCTATAAACATGGTGATGGCTAGGGATGGTTTATGAAATTGTTTTACCCACATTAGTTACAGTAATTTGGGGATTCTGATAAGCCATAGTAATTAGGGAAAGCGTTACGAACGATCTTCTTTCGATGGGAAAACGGGCTATTCTTAATGGCTCAGATGAAACTGATGGTGAGTTCATTTGAACAGCCCAGGGGTGAACAAAGATATGGGTTGACCTATTTTTTCGTGGATATTAACGGGTATGATTAGTGGATATTGATGGACCATACCGCAATATACTTAGGATCCCAATGGATATGGGGATATGGTTTAACCAACAACATGGTTTTCAACTAGATATTGAACTTGAGCGGATCATGTTGGGATATTTTTCCGTAGCCAAGAAGTATATTCGGGGGTGAGTCAGAGGGGATAACCTCAATGTGTGGCAGTTTCATAGGGCAAGTGGAGGATGGATTTTTGTGGAGGCAACCAGAAGGCTGGTGGATCATAGCGTTGCAGCCAAGAAGTTCATCATTAGATGTGGTGCTTTGGAACCATGGAATTTTATGACTTTCCATAAAAAGTTGGGAATTTCATCATCCCAATTGAACCACCAACCAGTTATAGATGTGGTGGTGGGCCAAGACATTTCGTTGATTTCCAGCCTTTGAAAGAAGTGATGGTAGGATACACATCAGCAACCACCGAAGCCATGATAGTCGTGGAGCACTAAAGTTTCTCCAATCCCCAGCAGTTGACGGACAACCCAAGCATGAAGCAACTGTGGGTCCTGGGGCATTCCTCACATGGCTAAGTGGTCCCTATCCTGAGGACTATGATGCAATGCGGAAGGAATGGATGGAGGTCCGTTTTTCCCGTTAGGATGGTAGTTCAGATCAGCGGCCACCCGGCAAGCCAACTGGAGATCTACAACTAGCATAACTGGTTGGTGGTTTGGAACATTTTTCCCCAACGGCGTAAGCTTGGGGTCTTCAGCCATAGTAAAGGTTCCGGAGCAGGTCGGAGCAGTCAAATCCGCACGGCGCAAGGTTGGGAACCGGGTTCCCAGGAAGAGGTTCCCAAGCAAGGTTCCCAGGAAGAAGAGGTTCAAGGTTACCAGATTCCCAAGCAAGGGTTCCCAGCAAGAGGTTCCCAAGCAGGGTTCCCAGGAAGAGGTTACCAAGCAGGGTTGCCAGGAAGAGGTTCCCAGGCAAGGTTCCCAAGAGGTTCCAAGCAAGGTTCCCAGGATTCCCAAGCAAGGGTTCCCAGCAAGAGGTTCCCAAGCAGGGTTCCCAGGAAGAGGTTACCAAGCAGGGTTGCCAGGAAGAGGTTCCCAGGCAAGGTTCCCAAGAGGTTCCAAGCAAGGTTCCCAGGAACAGGTTCCCAAGCAAGGGTTCCCAGCAAGAGGTTCCCAGGCAAGGGTTCCCAGCAAGAGGTTCCCAAGCAATGGTTCCCAGGAAGAGGTTTCCAGGAACAGGTTCCCAAGGTGCCCAGGAACAGGTTTTGCAAGCACGGATTTCAGGAACTGTTTTCAAGGTTTCCAGGAACCGTTTCCCAAGCAAGATTTCCAGGAAAAACCCAGAACAGGTTTTCAAGCAAGTGTTTCCAGGAAGAGGAGGTTTCCAGGAAGAGGTGTCCAAGCAAGGTTCCCAGCAAGTTTCCCAAGCAAGATTTCCAGGAACATGTTTTTCCAAGAAAAGCACGGTTCCCAGAACAGGTTTTCAAACAAGTGTTTCCAGGAAGAGGTTTCCAAGAAGAGGTGTCCAAGCAAGGTTCCCAGCAAGCTGGTTCCCAAGCAATGTTTTCAGGAAGAGGTTCCCAAGCAAGGTTCCCAGCCACAGGTTCCCAGGAACAGGTGCCCATACAAGGTTCCCAAGAACAGGTTCACAAGTAAGGCTCCCAAGCACGTTCCCAAGCAAGGTTCCCAGGAAGAGGTTCCCAAGCAAGGTTCCCAGGAAGAGGTTCCCAAGCAAGGTTCGCAGCAACAGGTTCCCAGGAACAGGTTCCCAAACTTTTTTCCCAATAACAGCTTCACAAGTAAGGTTCCCAGGAACAGCTTCTCAAGCAAGGTTGCTAGGAAGAGGTTCTCAAGCGAGGTTCCCAGGAAGAGGTTCGCAAGCAAGGGTTCCCAGTCGCTCCCGGAAATTTTGCTTTGGAACCAGCTCTTCCTGGTAACGCTTGCTTGAGAACCTGTTCCTGCGAGCCTTGTTCCTGCTTGGAACCTTGCTTGGAAACGGTTCCTGGGACCTTGCTTGGGAACCGTTTTTGGGAACCGTACTTGCAAGCGGTTCCTAAGAAATTAACCCTGCTTGGGAACCTCTTCCTGGGAACTTGCTTGGGAACGTTTTTCCCCAACAGCGTAAGCTTGGGGTCTTCAGCCACCCCAAGAACAAGATTTCCAATAAAAGAATCCAGGAACAGGTTCGCAAGCAAGGTTACCAGGAACGATTCCCAAGCCAGGTTCCCAAGAACAGGTTCCCAGGCAACGTTCCCAAGCAAGGGTTCCAGAAACAGTTGCCAAGCAAGGTTCCCAGGAACAGGTCCCCAAGCAAGGTTTCCACGAACAGGTCCCCAAGCAAGGTTCCCAAGGACAGGTTTGCAAGCAAGCTTCGCAAGAACAAGGTTCCCAAGCCAAGGGTTCGAAGAACAGAATCCCAAGAACAGGTTCGAGTTCCAAGAACAAATTCTCTAGGAAGGTTCCGAGCAATAGGTTGCCAGCACGGTTCCCACGAACACGTTCCCAAGCATGGTTTCAGGTTGCTCATGTTCCCAGGAACAGCTTTCCAAGAACAACTTGCAAAGCGAAATTTCGAAGAACATCTGCAAGCAAGGTTGGAAGCAAGAACAGAATCCCAAGCAAGGTTCCGAAGGACAGGTTCCTAAACAAGGTTCCCAAGCAAAGTTACGAAAAACAGGTTGCCGAGCAAGGTCCCAATGAACAGGTTTGAAGCAAGCAGGCAAAGTTTCCAAGAACAGGTTCCCAAGAGAGAGGTCCCAAGAACAGGTTACCAGGCAATGCTCCCAAGAGCAGGTTCCTAAGAATAGGCTCCCAAGAACAGGTTCCCAAGCAAGGTTCCGATAAACAAGTGTCAAGCAACGTGTCCAAGAACAGTTGCCCAGGCAAGGTTCCAAGAACATTGAACAACAGAATGCTGCAAAGTTTGAAGACTTGTTCTAATAACGGAACGGAGAGATTGAAGAACTAGTTTTACTTCAAAAGTGATACGGGACTCGCGCATGGATAAAAACACTAGACGACAGCGTGGCATGAAAGAAAGCAGGGGGGAGGAGACGAGAAGATAATACACAAGAAAAATGGTGATGGTGATGATGATGACGACAATGATGATGGCGATGACGATGACCAGGATGAATGGTGATGGAGAGATGATGATGAATGATAGCTGACGCGAGTCAAATGTCAGATATCCACGATTTCATGCCTTTTTTGTCCCCGCAGAGGGTTTGCTCCAGGACTGGGACCTGAGCGACAGTCAAAATCAAAAGACATGTTGTTTTTACACAGTGAAAAAAATCACAGAGAAGACTTTACACACAGAAGCCTTTACACAGAGGGATTTACACAGAGCAGCTTTTACACAGACGCTTTTGCACACAGACGCTTTTACATACAGAAGCTTTTACACAGAAAAGCCTTTTCTAAAGAAGCCTTACCACATGAAGCCTTTACACGGAGCAGCTTTACACACAGACACTTTTTCACGAAGAAGTTTTTACACACAGAAACTTTAACGCGCAGATGCCCAAGCTTTTACACACAGGAGCTTTTGCACACACACGCCTTACAAAAGAAGCTTTTAGACACAGAAACTTTTACAGCCTTTTCACAAGAAAGCTTTTACACAGAAGCTTTTGCACAGAGATGCCTTTACAAACAGTAAGCTTTTACACACAGAAGCTTTTATATAATTACTCGGAGAAGCCTTTAAACAGAGCAGCTTTTACACACACAGAAGCTTTTACACAGAGAAGATTTTGCACAGAGAAGCGTTTTCACAGACAAGCGTTTGCGGGAAGGAACTTTGAGCACAAACGGGTTTTACATACAGCAGCTTTCACACAGAGAAGCCTTTGCGCGGACCAGCTGCCCAGCTTTTACACTCAGGTTTGTTTTCACAGAGCAGCGTTTAGGCGGAGCAGCTTTTACACACCGAAGCTTCGACGCAGAGAGGCCTTTACTCTGAGAAGCTTTTACGCACAGAGGTTTTCACACGGAAGCTTTACACAGAGAAACTTTTACACAGAGAAGCGTCTAAACAGAGCATTTACACAGAAGCATTTGCACGCACAAAAGCTTTACATACACACAGAGCTTTTACACACAGACGCCTTTACGCATAGAAGCTTGTTCACAGAGCAGGGTTTACACAGAGCAGCTTTTACACACCGAAGCTTTTACACAGAGAGAGGCCTTTGCACAGAGCAGCTTATACAATCTTATACACACAGAAACTTTAAACATGCAAATGCCCAAGCTTTTACACAGGCAGGTCTTTACATACAGAGGCATTTACACAAGAGTTCTTTACACAGATGCGGCAGATGCTTCTACACAGAAGCTTTTGAACACAGATGCCTTTCCACACAGAAGCATTTACCCAGATACGCTTTGACTTGACGTATACATGCCTATACACACAGAAGCCTTTAGACACAGATTGTTTTTCAGAGAATCACAGAAGCTTTGACGCAGAGAAGCCTTTACACAGAGAATCTTCTACACACAGAAGCTTTTACACACACAAGCTTTTCCACAGAAGCTTTTACACAGAGAAGCTTTTGAGCACAGGAGCTTTTCCACACAGACTCCTTTACACACAGAAGCTTGTACACACGGAGGCTTTTACGCACAGAAGCTTTTACACAGAGAAGCCTTTACACACAGACGCTTTCCCAGAGAAAAAACGATTCCACAGAGCAGCTTTTACAACTTCAAAAAACCGACATTTTACGTAAGTTTTTGACGTTCGGCCATCATATTGTGCGAAAGGGTTGCATCCGGCGTTGGAAAATCGCAATTTTTGACGTTGGACAATCATTTTGCGTGAAAGGGCTTCGCCTGACCTTGTAAAATCACAATTTTACACAAGTTTTATTTCGCGCGAAGCGGTTGTGCCTGACGTTTTAAAATGGATAAAGTCGCAATTTTGCACCATTTCTTGAACGTTGCATCTGACGTTAAAACATCTCAGTTTTCCCACAGTTATTGCCGTTTGACTTTCATGCCACGCTTGCATCTGAACTTTCAAAATCACAATTTTACACCAGTTTTTGACGGTTGACTCTGATTTCGTGCGAAGGGGCTGCGCCGGGTCCCACCAAATTTGCATTTTGCCACATGTTTGGATGTCCGACCTGCGCGATCTCTGCAGAGGATTGCCCGTGCCCAAAAGAAATTCACATTCCACCACATGCTTGGGCGTTCGAAACGCACGATCTCCGCAGACGATTGCTGCGGGCAAAGAAGTTTCGCATTTCACCACACCACATGTTTGCCCTCCGACATGCACGATCTCCGCAGAGGGTTGCCCAAAGACAAACAAGACCCGCATTTCGCCACATGTTTGGGTGTCCGACACGCCGCAGAGGGTAACGTTTCGTAAGCCACCGCCTGGCTGTCCCTGCCGCTAGAGAGAAATAGAAGAACTGGAGAAGTCTGATTTCGCAGGAGTTCAGATACAATTTGATCACCTGGAAGTTTGCTGAACTCCTGTGTGGAAACTCCTGTGTAACAATTTCTGTGCAAATGACCGTGCAGGCAGGAGTCTTGTAGGAGTTCAAGTAGAAGTGGATCACCTGCAAGTCAACTCCTGTGTACATAACATTTTCCAAGTTTTGTAGGAGTTCCCTAGAAGTCGATCACCTGTAGCTGATGTAGGTGATGTTGTCTATGTTGTAGATGATGAGGATGATGTTGTAAGTGATGTAAGGTTAGATAGGTTTGAAGATGTAGGTGATGTAGAGGATGCAGTGATATATAGATGATGATGTAGGTCATGTATGTGTTGTAGATGATGTATGTCATGTAGATGAGGTTGATGGAAAAAGATTGTGTAGGTTATGTAGATGGTGTAGGTGAGATAGATGATGGTGATGATGAAGGTGATGGTGATGATGATGGTGGTGGTGATGATGATAATGATGATAATGATGATGATGTAGGGAAGATGGTGCAGAAGATGTAGGTGATGTGGGTGATGTAGAGGATGTAGCTATGTAGATGATGATGCTGATGTAGGTAATGTATGTGTTGTAGAAAAAGCATGGCATATAGATGAAGTTGATGGAACAATGTGTAGGTGGTGTAGATAATGTAGGTGAGACAGATGTAGGTGATGATGATGATGATGATGATGATGATGGTGTAGATGTAGATGTAGATCTAGAAAAGATGGTGTAGAAGATGGTATAGAAGATGTAGGTGATGTAAATGACATAAGAGATGCGGATGATGTATGTTAGATAGATGAAGTGAAGAGTGAGGCGGACAGCAGTTCTTTGGGAAAAAACCCTTCGCACGAGCTTCGGGAATATTGGCCACAGTATTGCAAACGCTTTTGGAAAAGCGTTTTTTGATAAAGTGTTTGAGCTGTGATTGCGCCTTGCACGCCCGACCTCTAGAGTAAGAAGGCCGGGGCAATAAACATACTTCACTCATTGCGTGTTTGGCAGCTGTTTTTGTTTCCGGCGGTTGGGGATACTCTTTGGGCTTATTTATTTTTCCATATATTGGGAATAACACTCCCAACTGGCTAATTTTTTTTCGGAGGGGATGAAACCACCAACCAGTTATCTATTTTTTTCACATGGAACATCATGGAGCCCAATTCTCAACATGGTGCTTCCGAATGTTGAATTCAGATAAATTTAGGCGTACCCTCTGGTAATTTAACGCAACTATTGGAAATGGCCATTTATAGTTGATTTACCCATTAAAAATGGTGATGTTCCATAGTTATGTTAGTTTACCAAGGGGTATCATTAGGATCAACTACAATTACAATCCACTTCTCGGCTCTGCCAGCCTTTGTAGGCGATCCCGAAATCAAGTTCTGCAACACATCTCTGGCGTAGAGACAGTACTGTTAAGACTGATTTTGCCGAAGTAGGAAATCAACCGTGCCTCTTTGAAAATCGGTGTGATTTGACATTTTCTGAACGGATAATTCCCTATAAATGGATGTAACTGGCCAGATTGTATATATACATTATATGTGTATATTGATACAAATTATAAAGAAAGGGATGTTTTGAGCGCAAAAAAATATTTTGGGGATATGTTTTTTAAATATATTACTTACTGTTTTTTGTGTTCACAACACCTTTTGTAAGTAAGATAAGCCACTTTGGGTATGATGTCTATGATATATATGATGCATTTGATATATATGATACATATGATATAGATATATAAGTATTTATATTTATGATATACATGTTATGTATGATATATAGTTGATATATATATATGATATATATTTATGATATATATATGTGTGTGTGTGATGTAGATACAGTATATATGATATATATATATACAGTATATGATATATAGTATACATATGTATACATGTATATGAGATATATTTATATAGTACATATATATATGAGATATATTTATATAGTATATATATCATAGTATATATATATATATGATTTGTTTATCTTTAAATATATATGATATATATATAATTACATTATATATATTTTACATATATCATATATATATATGTATTATATTTTTGTGATATACACATATAGTATATGTATATATATACATACATATGTAATGATATACATATATACAATATATGTATATGCGGGTCTTTCCATTCCCACACAGAGAACCATCTCGGGTGATTTCTTTTTGCCTTTCCAGGCATTGAATGGCCACCTACCAGTGCAAAAAACCTTCGTGCAATTCGGGCTTCATGTCCAATCTACATTCAGCCGTCGCCGCAGCCGGTCCCTGTGATGCGTGGCCGAAGGTGTCAGACTTCGACCATGACAAAAATGATAGGATGACCCTCTGGTTATGACTAACATAGCCATGGAAAATCCCTCATAAATGGAAGTTTTAATGGGAAAATCATCTATAAATGGGCCATTTTCCATGGCTATGTTAAAAAACCAGAAGGTATGATTATCAGATTCAGATAGCCCATATAAGTACATAAAAATGTATTTACTGTACATATCCATATAAGTTATTGCTATAACCAGACAATATTTTACACATAGTGTGTATATATATATATGTATATATATATCTCGATAGTTTTGGTACTTTTACCCAATGGTTTTACCACTTTCTATGGGTCAATTGAGGAAGCATCTACGCTTCGGATGATGCCTGGACTTGCGCGCTGCTTATACGAAACCCAAAACAGGTGTGACGCAGTTTATATATATATGTATTCAATGATAATTTTTTTTGATGCTGTTGAAGGTGTTTAGTTGCAAAAGAATGATATTACTTATCGTTTTTCTTGCCATTCAGGACTTGCAACTCTCAACTCTTGTGACCCAAAAAATACGCCAAAGTAAACCAGCAGAACTGCCTGTTCGGTCCTGTGATTCTTGTGTTTATTTGCACGGCGATGGACAGGTTTTTGCAGCAATTAGTTTTATTTTTTTCATATTTGCAGATGATTATAATAACCTTTGGATGAACATAATGACCTCACAATCACATCAATGAATATTAAACTGATTGTTGATGTGGGGCACAAACATTTGGAGAAGACGAGAGGCCTTATTTCAGTTATTTTCGCGTCATTGAATTATTATATTTAAGCCAGATAAACATTATATAATTCGATAGCGACTTGCAGATATTGATGGTGCATTTGTCTTTTCCTCCGCAGTTTGAGACGGGTTTGTGTCAGACACTATTGACCCTTATAGATATGTCAATGGGAAATACACCCATTAATAATGGAGGCTTTATGGGGAAAAACATCTATTATATACATATAGACATATAGATTGGGGATTTTCCAGCAAACCCTGTTTGACCAGAGGGTAGTAGATGAGCCAACAGAAAGTTTAAGGCTACTAGTACAAACAGAATTCAGAACAGCTCAAAATCACAAAAACTCCCAACAATGGATGGTTGAACACTGAAAATCAACGATGTTGTGAGTGACCCGATGGGCAGCTTTCACCTGGTTTCCCAGTTTTGTTTCCACGGGAAAACCATGGAAAAACCATTTGTAAATGGAGGATATTGTCAGCTTAGTTCACCCGAGGATATCTATTTTGATGATTTTTGACGAAGCTTTGCCAAGCACAACCTGTCCTCCCGAAGAATTTGGCGTGCATGCTGCGGGCAGTTTCAGTGCCTGTGGAGATTTCAATTCCTCATGGCCAAAGGGCAGGAAACTGCTTTTCTTGGGGGAAAAATCCAAGAATTGGGTATTGAAAATATATGGATCCAGGGATGGTTGAAATTTGAGGTTTAAACATCTTTAACAATGAAAAAAAACATGGGGTGAACCAAGTACAGGGGTAACCCATTTTGGGGTGCCTAAGAGGCTCTCCGCATGTGGATGCGCTGCAGTCGATATTTTTGATAGTATGAGCCAATGGTCATAGCCCTGTGAACAGGGGCTTCCAAAAGCGAAAACAAGATAAAACAAGCAGATTCAACGAATTCCTGGCTTTGGATGGACTTGAGTGGTTTGACCATGGCAAAATTGGCAAATCGATTTGCGCATGTTCGAAAAGTGGCAGCAGCACATCCAGATCTTGTCAGCGCACGGCAGCACATTGCCTTGCGAGCGACGAGCGACACCTGCGTCGGACTTCGTCGGCACCATGGCAAATGTGTTGCTTGCCCTTCTGAAGAAACCAGGCTGCCCAGGCCCTTCTATTATCTGGTCGCGTTCGGGTCAGATCGGGATTTTGTGTGGTCCCTTCAATACCCCGATGCTCCATGTATGGAATATTTACCTACATTTGGGCCATTTTTGGGGTAAATGTAGATAAATATTCCATACATTGAGCATCTGGGATATCAATCAATCGTGCAATCGTGGTTGTTGAGCAGTTCGTTGCGCGGGCCTCGTGAAAAAAACGTAAAACTCAATGTCCGATGTCAGGGTATGGGTAGTTTTTAGATATGTTGAGCTTAAGATTCTTTACAAACCTTTGGATTGGACACGAACTGACAAGTTTCATCAAGTTTCAGCATTCCTGACTTATCAAATCTGAAACAGGGGCTTGTCGATCTCCGGAATGGCATACCCTTCACTGCTGTTTGGTTTCGCGCAGTAATGTTTCGTGCATGGCGAGAATGGTGCACCACAAAGCTCCCGCGATTTTCGCTGGGCGACCTGGAAATGGACGTTGGGTCGATGAACTGTCAACTCAGGTCGGTCGCTCAGACGTCTACATGATGTCCAAAGAAAACACGTTGCATGTGGCGAATTGAATAATTGAATTATGAAGGGCAGCGCATTTTGTATCCGACCAGTGACGACATCTATGTCTTTGCTCCAGTCTCGATGGATCACCATCCGCATTTCCGAACGGACATACATCAGCAATTGGGTATACAGTACACATTTCTCTTGACCAAACTGTATGAATCAGATTTTCAAAGTTGGAATAAACATTTCTTTAAACGTATTCTCTTCAGAGTCCCAAACACGTAGATGAAAAACGTGGGATGAACGTGGATCCTCACTAAGTATATTATGCGCCTTCCTCTACGGACTAAGTACTGAGTCGTTTCATAGGGTTTGTTGTTGTAAGCAAGATTGAACACCCTACTGTATCAGTACGTCATCTAGTTGGATGACAGGTCGGCGCTGCTCCGTTGATCCATGGCTTTTGAAGTTTTGACGTTCTACTAACCTGCCAGAATTCTCACCCTTATGATCTATATGTGGATTCTTGAAGTTTTGACATCAAAAATCGTTTAAAATTGGTCATGTTGAATGGAGAAACCAATGCTTTGGGGATCCAGCAGTTTGGGAAATACCTGTTTCACCACTGCGGTTCCTCTATGAGAGGAAGTTGAATCACATCACTTTGTCAAATTGATGTGTCCAAACTTGGCACCACCATTTTATCCAATGATTTACAGTATCATCACTTTCCCCGTGTTATGTACAAACATACCCCCCTGTAAACTAAAATAGACAATACAAAGCCATGGTTTCCCAACGAGTGATCTGCAAACGGTGGGTCAACAGTTTTTATTCTCACGGTCAAACACATGCCCAGTGAAACATGACATATTTTGCCTGTTGACATATTCATTCGCATGACCTGACTGCTGTCCACACAGGTCATGTTGCCAGTTTGAAAGTTCAGCCGGCGCGAGGCATGATATGAACTTGTCAGGTGAGTATGATTTTGAAAAACATCCTGGGAACACATATTTTAATGCTTTCTATTATTTCTATTTAATTAAGTTGCCAGGAATCATCAGGAATCATATGATTTAGCTGTCTCAATTTTCCCCATTGTACTGTAGTTGATTCAGTTTGATTCAGGAGATCATTGGGATGAAAATCATCATGCCTTGCTCGCCATGATGCGGCGAAGACTGCTACCCTAAGGCTCTTTTGGTGCAGAGTTCCACTGCATTACAAGCTGTTTCTGGCTTACACTGGGCATGTTTGATCATATAGCTAAAGCAAAGCCTAGGGATTCACTATGTCTTCCTGAAACCTGAAACCTGAAGCTTTTTCGAAGAGTGTTGTATAATTTTTTGATCCTAAAATAATCACATTTCTGTAAACCTTTCCTGAATCTTTGTGGTGGAATCATGGAAGTTTGTAGCTGAAAGCAGCCGGGGAGCGAGCTCAGCCCATTCCCGTTCCCGTTCGTAAATCGAGCCGGCTGACGGCACTTCGGCTGACGGAACCGAAATGTGATATTCTTAGCATGTGGGGAACGACGGGAACTAAGAAAGCTATATGGATATATATATATGGAAATGTTTCAGGGCGAGGATTTGAGTCGTATTTTTGTCCATTCAGTCTCTGGTTTTTCTATGATGTTCTATCAAAATTAAATATGATATGATATGTTGATTCTAGAACAAAGAATCTAAATAGATATATCATATCTCATATCATATGAGAGCCAAGTCTAGATATTAGCTATGGAAAATAGCCATTTATAGTTGATTTATCCATTAAACATGGTGATTTTCAATAGTTATGTAAACTTTTACCAGAAGGTAGATATATGAGAGCCAAGGAAACCAAAAAAACGACCTCGCCGACGGCATCACCGTCGTGTGACTGGAGTTCCATTGGCTGGGAACCCACGGGTTTCCATCCGCGTCCTTTTGTTACGGCGATCTCACCGTCGTTTTGATCATACAAGCACATCATGATATATTGATATTTTTGTATATATATACATATACACATTATATACGTATATTATATAAATTGTATATATATATAATATTATATACATACATTGTATATACTATATATATATATTATATTAGAAATATGTATACATATGTATAGAGACACCATGATATATATATATAGATAGATAGATAGATAGCGTATAGATTTTGGAAACATATAGAGATGCCATGTTTTTTTGGAATGAACTAGAAGTATATATCGTAATTTGCCCAGATTCACGACATACACTGACATACACCAATGCACACCGAAACCCCATGGTTCCGCAGCTGTGCACCCGCGCTCCTCCGCTGCGCCCCGTTACTGCTGGGCGCAGATACTTTTTAACGCTAAAATAGCGCTTACGGCCCCGACAGGCAGAGTAGATGAAAAGGTAACAGGATGAACCATTAAAAAAAAAACACTAACAGACATGAGTTCTTTTTTGGAATTGTGGATGGTTGCGAAATCCTGCACCAGTTGGTAGATCCATGTTTATCCAAATAAACAATCCCACTATTACAGTGTTGAATAGTTACCAACTGGTTCAGGATTTCGCAACCATCCACAGTATGTTGCAAAATGGTGTTTACACATGTTCTACGTTCACAGGGGCATAGCCAATTTTTGATGTTTTATGATTGCAA